AGCCCGTGTCTTTCATTTGTCATTTATTTGCTCTAGGAAAGAGAACATACCTATAGAAAGTAAAAATTAATATTAGAGTATGAATAGGGGTTGCACAGAGTAGGCCCTTAATACTTTTGAAAGAATAAATCTGGTATTCTTCCATGATACTATATCTAGAATAATTGAGTAGACCCAAAAAAGTAGTAAAAATAATCTCATATTTTAATGGAAACTTTTTTTTTTAAGATTTTATTTATTTGAGAGAGCAGGAGAGCACAGGCAGATGTCCCGCTGAGCAGGGAGCCAGATGCTGGGCTAGATGCCAGGACCCTGGGATCATGACACCAAAGGCAGACACCTAACTGACTGAGCCACCCAGGTTCCCCTTAATGGAAACTTCAACTTTTGGAAATCCTTTTTAAAACATATGTTCCTCACTATATCTCTATAAAGGACGTAAGGTACATTTTATAATCTCATTTTCCAGATTAGGAAACTGAGGCTCAGCGAAGTTAAATGACTTGTTCAAAAATCACACAGCTAGTAAGTGGTGAACCTAAATTACAAGATTCTCCTCCATGATGCCATCTTTCAAATAGTTAAAAGTAATGTCAAAGGGCAAAACAAACTGCTTTCTATATTATACAAATAATGTCCTTACAAAACCAATACAATAATAATAGCATTCATCTGGCTTTTAAATAGACTGTAAACTTCTGGAAGGTAGTATGTGACTTTTATTCATTCTTTCATTCAGTCCAAAAATATTAGCTAGGTGCTTTGTTAGAAAACAGTATAAAACACAGTCTCTGGGGACGCCTGGGTGGCTCAGTTGGTTAAGTGTCCCACTCGTGATTTCAGCTCAGGTCATGATCTCAGGGTTGTGGGATCGAGCCCCACATCAGGCTCCCTGCTCAGTGAGGTCTGCTTGAGATTCTCTTCCTCTCCCTCTGCCCCATCTCTCTAAAATAAATAAATCTTTAAAAAAATATGGTCTCTGTCCTTGAAGAGCTCACATTCCAATTGTGGGGGGGAAGCATAAAGCAATGTAATATATATTACTAAGGTATTATAAAGTTCTATGGTGGCAAGAAGAGAGCTACTAATTCTGCTTTGTGGAAGTTCAGGAAATTCAAATGTGAATCTAAGTCATTTTGCTTTCTCAATTTCCTTTTACAGCATTTAGATATTTTGAAGTACCCCCCTTTAGATACTTAAAATATATGAAACTTAACTACATTTAGTTTCAATTTGGTTTCTAAACTTCAACCCCGGAAAGACTTCATCCTTCAAAACTTAATTCCTAAGTTTTTTTAAAAAAATCCATTTACTCATAACATAAAGTTTAGCATAGATGAAAAAACCTCCAGCTATTATGCAAAAAGGTCTTTTAATAGCTCTCTACAGAAATAGTCAAGCCTATATTCTGTTTCAAGAAGTTTTTAATAAGTGAAAAACAACTTTTGAAAAGGGGTCAGGGGATATTATTTTCATCTTTTCTGATAAAAGAGTCCAGATTCAATGAATCTGGAGAAGATCCTTTTTTCACTTATAAGTTGATGACCGTTTCTGACCAGAATTATGAAGCGGCACAAAGAAATTAAAATCTCTGTCCTGAAGAAGCTTATTTATAGGGGTGCTTGGGTGGCTCAGTCGTTAAGTGTCTGCCTTCGGCTCAGGTCATGATCCCGGGGTCCTGGAATCAGGCCCCACATTGGGCTCCCTGCCCCGTGGGAAGCCTGCTTCTCCCTCTCCCACTCCCCCTGCTTGTGTTCCCTCTCTCACTGTGTCTCTGTCAAATAAATAAAAATCTTTTAAAAAAAAAAGCTTATTTACAATCTATTTCATATGTTCATTGATTCATTCATTCAATATGGACTAATGAGGATGTGCTCTTTGCAGGAAAAGAAAACCAGGGAAAAGGCAAAATTTTATAAATTTATAGTCCAGAAAGAGCCAAAATTAAAGTTTAAGATATAATCTTTTTTCGTTATTTTTTATCATGATAAAACATACACAAAATTTAATATTTTAACCATTTTTAAGTGTACAGTTCAGTGGTACTAGGTACATTCACACTGTTGTACATCCATCACCAGTATCCATCTCTAGATCACTTTCGTCATCCTGTACTGAAACTCTGCACATATTAAACAAGAACTCCCCCTCCCCTCTCCACCCCCCAAGCCCCAGGTAACCTCTATTCTTTTTTTTCAAAGATTTTATTTTTAAACAATCTCCACACCCAACATGGGGCTCAAAACCGCAACCCCAAGATCAAGAATTGCACACTCCATCAGCTGAGCTAGTTAGGCACCCCACTTCTCGTTTCTGTTACTGTGACTTGCCTATTTTAGGTACTTCATACAGGTGGGGTCATATTTGTTCTTTTGTGCCTGGCTTATTTCACTTAGCATAATGTTTTCAAGATTCATCCATGTTGTAGCATGTATCATAACTTCATCCCTGTTTATCGCTGAATAATATTCCTGTATGAATATACCACATTTTGTTTATCCATCTGTTGATAGACATTTGGGTTGTTTCCATCTTTTGGCTTTGGTGAATAATGCTACTATGAACGTGGGTGTACAAATATCTGTTTGAGACTCTGCTTTCAATTCTTTCGGGTATATACCGAAGTGAAATCACTGGCTCATACGGTAGTTCTGTGTTCAATTTATTGAGGAACTGCCATAGTTTTTCCACAGCAGTCACACCATTTCACATTCCCATGAGCAATACACAAGGTTTCCAATTTCTCCACGTTTTTGTCAATCCTTTTTATTTTCTCTCTTATTTTTATAATAGCTATCCTAATGTGTGTGAAGTGGTATCTCATGATTTGTTTGCATTTCCCTAATGATTAGTCATGTTGAGCATCTTTTCATGTGCTTATTGGCCATTTGTGTAACTTCTTTGGAGAAATGTTTCTTCAAACCCTTTGTATAACAAACTTTTGACCACAGAGTAGACACTCGTCCCTGGGAAATGGTACCAGCATAGTTTCATCAAACAGAATTAAGTGAAATCCTGCCTTTTAGCCTACAAAAACAACAAAATGATCCTGTGTACTTGTTGGCAATTACAACTCAAAAGTACAAGATACATTGTAAAGCACAAAAATAGAGTCAATTCCTTAGTGACACTCCCTAGGATATGGGTAACCCATAGTTCCTAGCTTTCTTTGCACTTTCATGTGAAAACTGTATTGAGTACCCATTGCATTAGGTTTCTATTGCTGCTGTAATAAATTACTACAAACTTAGTCTTTAAAACAACACAAACTTATTCTTTCTGTTCTGGAGGTCAGAAGTCTAAAATCATGGTATTGACAGGGCTGCATTCTTCTGGGGGCTTCAGGGGAGAATACTTTTCCTTCCCTTTGTCAGCTTCCAGAGATGCCTGCTTTCCTTGAGTCAAGGCCCCCTTACATCACTCTGACCTCTTGCTGCTCTTTTTAAATTAAAAAAAATTTTACAGTTTTATTAATATAACATATATAACAACATATAAGTCTAAGGTGTACAACATAATACATGTATATATTGAGATGAATACCACAATAAGTCTAGTGAACATCCATCACCTCACAGTTACATATTTCTTCTCTTGTGATGAGAATTTTTTTTTTTTTTTGAGAGAGAGAGAGAGAGTGAAAGTGAGAGGAGGGGCAGAGGGAGAAGGAAAGAGAGAATCTTAAGCAGGCTCCAGCCTCAGTGCCTAGAGTCTCACATGGGGCTCCATCTCACCACCCTGAGATCATGACTTGAGATGAAATCAAGAGTTGGGAGTTTAACTGACTGAGTCACCTAGGCACCCCTGAGAACGTTTTTTGTCTGTGATGAGAACTTTTAAGATCTACTGTATTAACTTTCCAATATGCAGTACAGTATTGTTAACTACAGTCACGGTGCTCTACGCTACAACCTCTTGCTTCTACGACCACCACTCCTATTAATGGCTCCAAACTTCTTGACTCTCTTTTAAAGATTTTATTTGACAGAGAGACACAGCGAGAGAGGGAACGCAAGCAGGGGGAGTGGGAAAAGGAGAAACAGGCTTCCCGCTGAGGAGGGAGCCCGATGCGGGGCTGGATCCCAGGACCCTGGGATCATGACCCAAGCGGAAGGCAGACGCTTACCAACTAAGCCACCCAGGCGCCCCTTGACTCTCATTTTTAAGAATCTATATGATTATATCAAACTCACCTGAATAATCTAGGTTGATTTTCCCATCTCAAGATCCTTAACCACATAGCACCGAGTCCCTTTTGCCATGTTAAATGGCCTATTCACACGTTCCAGGGATTAGGAAGTGTACATATTTGGGGCACCATTATTCTACCCCACCTACTGTGTGCCTGTTGAGTTCAAATCCGAAAAATTATGGCATTCAGCATATTCCACAGATTTTTTTTCTTGTTTTAACCACCCACTTCATTCACCAGTAGTCAGAGGACTTTCTAATGTGTTACCAGCTCTTGGATCATAGAACCAACTGGTTCTTTGATCTGAGCTTTGCTGATAAAAAGAATGACAAAGTCACAGCTGCCCCCATTTACTACTGCTGTTGTTTTGGTAAAGACTTACAAGATAATTGAAGCCACTTTCCCAATCAGCCACCGTAACAACTAGGTCCACCCGCATTGCCATTAATAGCGAGGACAGTAGCAATAAGCAATAAGCAATAACTAACGGCCTCCAAGATTTATTTCTTCACGTGTCCCTTCCCACTCGGGAGTCGCGGGCCTCGCTTCCCCCTCCCCGCCTCCCGCAAGGGGGCGCGGCGCTCGAGCCTCTCTAGGCCTTCGGCGGGCCCACCGCGCTCTCTGCCGCCCTCCGCGAGGAGCCACGAGGAGGCGCCGAGCCGCACGCTCTGCCTCCATCCAGTTCCCGCGGTACTCGCGCCGCTCCCTCTGCACCCCCTCCTTTCCCTTTCCGTTCTCCCCGCCTCCGGAAGCAAGAGCCGTGCCGCTGGGAGCCGCGTGCGGGGGTTGCGTGCGCGCGGTGCTGCGTGCGCGCGACCCTGGAACGCCGCTGGCGGCGTGCGAGACGGCTGCGACGGCCACGGCACCCAAGTAAGCGGTGCGCCAGCAACCCCTTCTTCCCCGCCCGCGACGCGCCCGCCACGCTCGCCTCCGTTCGGGATCCGTTTCCTCTCTCTGGAGCCCAGACAGCGGCGAGCACTCAGGGTCGGTATGAGGAAGCCAGCGCGGGAGGTTAGGAAGGCGGGCGGGCCGGGACCCCCAGCCCTTTGCTGCGTCGGCCCTGCGGCCCAGCCAGCCCCTCGAGTGGCGTGTGTAACCACAACAAAGGCGTCCGAGCCCGCGGCCGGCGGGTCCGTGGGGCTGCCCGCAGCCCCAGCCGGCCCCTATGGGAACCGCCGGGCCTACCTCCAGGATGCGTTCGGGGATGGCCTGGGGGCGTCGGCCCTGAGTCGAGAAGTGGTGGTTACTGGGAGCCGGGTTCGGGTCGGCGTCGCCCACCTCTGAGGACTCGACTCTGAACTCCGGAGCCTCAGGGGCTCTCAATTATCTTCTGCCTCCTGTGCGGGGCGGGGAAAGGGGATGGTCAGGAGGGGGGGGTGAACGGGCCCTTGACTCAAGTCCCTGGAAAACGGGTGTTTACTCTGGGCCGAGATTTTCGTGGACCCAATCTTGTTTGGACCGTATTATACACCTAATTACAGAAATAATGTGATGTCACAGTAACGAAATGACAGTTTAAAAAATGCCAGATTCTTATTTGTGTTTTCCTGATGTATCTTAAAAAGCATTAGTATTTCTGTTGCTGGCCCTGCAGGAGCGATACAAATGGTGGTGAGTGTCCAAGTGACGCTCAGGCAGCTTTGACAAATACCGGTTTTCATTGAGCCCCAAAGACTTATTAAAGGAATTATCATTTAAATTTTATCCTTTCCCAATATGTTGTAAAGAGAATCTTCACAATCTTAAGTCCACATTTTTATTTTCCAATGTAAATTGAATCTCACTAACTTTGAAATAAGTGTTATCGGAAGGATTGCTTAGTGGATGGGATCGTTGGATAATTTTCCCATAAATTCAGTTAAATAACCAGAGAGCTTAAATCCTTATAATAACCCTATCTGTTGGATGTTATGCCTGAAAAGTCTCCCAGGTGTTACGTGCCACCTCTCATGAACTGTGACGACTTAGTAAGGTGGGTCCTTAACTGTTGAGGACTACATCAACCATGTAAATACAGATAAGGGGATGGTTAATTCTGGTGTGTGTGGTAGGGGGGCGGGCGGGGGGGACGATTGTGGGAAACTGTCAAGGAGCCAGCTCAGGGAAAAGTAGTGATTTTTCTGCTTACATAGCAAAGAGCAGAACTAGAGTTCAATCTTAAGTCTCCTAACTCCACAAACTCCTTCATCAGATAAACATTCTTTGAATGTCTAATATTTGTCAGATCCTACGTTAGGCACTGCGGATATAAAGATGAGCAAGATCCAGGAGTTCCCAGTTTGGTAAGGAGATAAGGCACAAACTGTTAGCTATGAAAAACACATTTCAAAGAACTACCTAATCATTTGGATTACAAATAGATGTTGGGATTTAGACCTAGTTCATAAAATGTTATGGTTGGGAAAATGATATCCTCCTAATGCATGAATTCCCTCTGTGGCATCCCAACAAGTGGACATTCAGTTTTTGCTCCAACGTTATCTAGTGACTCGTGGCTCATAATCTTAGAAAGTAGCCCATTCCATTTTGAACAATTCTTAGGTTGATTTAAGAACAGGTTTCTTATATATTACATCTATTGATGCAAGTTCTACCTCTGAACTACAAATAACAGCTCTAAAATTTTTTTTTCATATCACAGTCCTTTAAATATCTGAGCATACCCTTTCTCTTAGCCATTACTTTTACTAGTTATGAATCCCTTGTTCTATGAACCATTGATCATGACTTAGATTCTAGACTCTTCACCATAGCACTGAGAGCTAGATGCTTCATTCAAGAAGTAGTTTGACCAAGCAGTATATAATGCAAGTTACCTTAAGACTGCATATTGCTATCCCGGTATGATTTAAGAGCATTTTAATCTTTTGATTTCTAAGTCATGCTTTTGCCACTTGGTAAGCTCCCAAGTCTTTTTTCAGTAAACCTTCTTTTAAGCTGGGGCCCACAGTGCACCTTCCCTCCTCACCTTCCCTCATTCTGTGTCTGTGCTATTATTGTGTTATTATTTGGCTATTTCAAATATACCTCCCCATTAGGTTTTTGGCTTATTAATTTTCCTCTGCTTGTTTCAGTATAGCAGAATCAGTAAGACTGCTGACTGTCTGGATTCAAACCCTGACTCTGCTGCTTTCTAGCCATGTGGTCTTTGAAAATGTCAGTTAACCTCTGTGCTTCAGTTTCCTTGTCTCTAGCCTCAGAGTTGTTACCAGTATTAAATGGTCAGTAAAAATAATCCATGGTAAGTGATCAATGAAAGAGTACTTAAAACAGTGCTTGGCACATAATAAAATCTATATGAACGTTAGCTTCTTTTCCATTTATCCAGAACCTTTGAATCCTTATTTTCAACTGTCCATCTCATTTTTTTTTATTCACAAATTCGATAAAGCTTGAAGTCGTAAAAGGCATACTTGATACAAACTAATTTAAATTGTTAAAGGCATTTAAATTGCTAGGCCTTAGTCTCTTCATTCCTAATGTAAGGGGGTAAAATTTTTTCCTTTCAGGACTGTTGGGGAACTCTGAGGGTAGGGGAAGGGTATTAGCTCTAACTTGCATTATTTTGCCATGCACCTTTATAGGGGACTTTAAATAGGTCTCACTCAGGGTTATCAGGGATCACAAAATTTGACTTGATATGCCAAACACATAAAGAGGAGGCATGCTGGAAACATTTCAAGTTAGTGACTTCCAGAATTGTCACTCTCCTTGTCAGAAATACCTTTGGAACTCACTACTGTCTTTGGAAAGGTGGTTTGGTCACAGGCTCAGATTGGGATAGAGAGGGTCATAAATTAATTTAAAGTTCTGAATTCTTATTACCTAGATTAATGCTTTTTAATTTACTCAAGGCTACTACTGGTTTATTTAATTTATGGTTCCAGTGAGGTTTGTTCCCATTTACTTTGTTAGTGGAAAACTGCTACATAGCAAATAAATCCCAGCAAAATGTGTGGCAATCACTGACATGTGTATCTAATTGTAACTGTACAGACCATCCTTTTCTGTTCCTAAATCCATATTGCTAAATAGGTCCCATTTTCCTTTAAAAGTCCCAGTGGTGAGAACATCTTGTTGTCTTGCTGACAGTTCACTATCAGATAAATCATAGATATCACAGCAATGTATTCTAAAGGTTAAAAACAAACAGATCTTACTTAAGGACCTTACTTTGAAGCAGAATAAACAGTGATTAATAACATCCTTAAACTATGCCTGCCTTAGAATCCTGGCTGTGCCACTTACCAAGCTATGTGACTCTGGGCAAGTTCTTGCGCTGCTTCATTTTTCTCATTGGTAAATGGGAATGATAAAAACCTCTTAAACTTAGATACATTTTAGCTGTTAGTTGTACTAGAATAGTAGCACTAATACAAATGAGACTTAGTTATGTTAGTAATTTTGTGTATTTCCTGAAAAATGTAAACAAGTTATTCTGAGGCATGGTAGAATGATTTGGATGATTTGTTTTTGAAAGAGTTGTTTTTTAAACTGACTAGGGAAATTTATGCTCTGGGCACTGCCATGAAACCATTTGCTTTTAAAATTTGAAGAAACTTCAAAAAAAAATTTTTTTTGAGAGAGCGCACAGGCAAGCAGAGGTGGAGGGGAGGGGCAAGAGGGAGCAGGACAGAGAGAATCTTAAGCAGGCTCCATACTCTATCTCATGACCCTGAGATCATGGATCTCACGACCCTGAGATCATGACCTGAGCCGAAATTGAGAGACTCTTAATGAGGCTGAGCCACCCGGGCGCCCCGCGCCCCCCCCCCCCAAATTTCTTTAATCACAAAGGTATTCTTAACCATGTAACAAAGTGAGAGAGAAAAAATATCTGCAACCCTTTTTTATTCCATCCCTTGACATTTGGATTAAAGAGTTAATTACCTTACAAAAGAGGGTAACTTTATTGGGAATTTAATGACAAAATAATGTTTATAAGAGCTATCCACCATTCAGTGGCTGCTTTATCTGTTGGTTTCCTTTTTGAAGTCAGGTGAACAGAATAAGATTGACAGTGATCAGTCATAATCTTTTTTTTTTTTTTAATTAAGTAGGCACTGCGCCCAACATGGGGCTCCAGCTCACAACCCTGAGATCAAGAGTCACATGCTCAACTTGCTGAGCCAGCCAGGTACCCCTCAGTCCTATTCTTTGTTTGTGATGTGAAGACCAATGATCACAGGCCTCTGCCACGTTCTTTATTTTTTACCCCCTGTGGGCTTCTTCACCTTCATCCTTTCTCTCCCCTTACAGCCTCATACTCTTAGCTGTTGAATGATGTCCTTCCAGTCCATGCTATGTAATTTTGTGCCCATGAGGAATTCAGTATCATGTGTGTTTTAAGTTTTATATAATTGTTTATTTAATTCTCTTTTAATAAACATTTTGTATATCTCAGCTCATCCTTTTTGACGGACATATAGTATATCTTATACAACATTTTGCTTATCCGTTTTCCTCTTATTAGACACTGAGTTTTTTCCTAACTCATTGCTATTACGAACAGTAGTGCTATGATGAACATCCGTGTACATGTGCCCAGAAACACAATTGGGAAGTGGCAGAACCAAGTTTGAGCCTGAGTGTGTCTGACTCCGTTCATTCTTTATCATTGTGCAGACTCCCAGTCATCACTTATTTGCTTAATTTATTGCAGGGACACTATTCTAAAAACAGTAATGGAAATATTAAAAATGCAGTGGGATTGTTGGTTTTCTTCTAACAGGTCAACTTAATTTTGCCCTTTCCCCCCCTAGTTTTTGTTTAAATGTGTAAATTGTATTATTATTCCAGTGTGGATAACAGTTTTGTATTGTGCATTTTTCATGCTGATATATCACCTAAATCAGGGGTCCACAATTTTCAGTAAAGGGTCAGTTGGTAAGTATTTTAGGCTTTGTGGGCTATATGGTCTCTGTCACAGCTGCTCAACTCTGCAGTTATAGTGATAGCTGTCAGAGACAATATCTAAACCTGTGGCTGTGTTCCAGTAAAACTTTATTTACAAGAACAAATGGCAGGTCAGATCTGGCTCATGCACAGTAGCCTGCTGACCCCTGATATAAATAATTCTTTTGATGGAGTCATAATATTCTTCTGTTCAAGTTTTTTTCAGTATTACAGGTAATGCTATAACGCACACCATTCTTTCTTTTTAGTATTACATTCTTAGAATGAATTTCAGAAATGAAGGTACTGATTCAAAGGCTTATGACTTTCTTATGGCTCTGAAAATTAATTGCCAAATGCCAAGGAGATAAGTTTTAATTTTTATAAATTAAGAAAGTAAACTTTAATTTCAATGTGGATAAATATGACATCTGAAACCTTATTAAATATCTTTGAGGATCTGTGGAGGAGGCATCCTTCTGTTGATTTGAGTTTTGAAACTTATGAGGGCATTGATCTGTGCTATGGGAAATAATATTTCTTGTATTTATTATTTAGGTATAAGTTATCTGATTTTTCTTAAACTTTTAAGATCTGCTTACATATCTTATCTCAATTTAAATCTAATAATGTGTTAGAATTTTAAAACTCATTTGTACTTTGATTAATCTTCACTTAGCTTAATTTTCCCTGAACATTCTATACTGTTTATGAACAGCACAACTACAATTTTGGTGTATTTTATTTTCTTAAGTACCTTGAACCCCTGACAAGGGATACTTACACATCTAATAAAGGAAGTCTAGCTAAGCACTTAGACATTTTTAGTAAATCTAATAAGTCTTAACTTACTAATTCAATTAATCAGATTTCCTTAAGCATTTAAAAGTTGATTGCAAATAGTTAAATTTTTTGTTTAATATGTCAGAATCTCTTAAATTCTTCAAAACCTTAAAGGCAGAAAAAGTTACCCAATGATGATAAAATGTATTACCACACATACCTTGAATCTGTCTTATTAACCTATTACTAACAGTATGAATTTGGTTGACATTTAAATCATGTTTGTACTTGTTTTATAGGTTGCGGGATCACTTAAGCAATTAAAGGCTCCAGAGTATTATGGCTGATTTAGAATACAGATTACATAATTTTTTATTGTAGTAGAATTAATCATAATTTGAATATACTGAGTGCATAATTGGATTGTTGGCTATATATTACTAGAAATTTATACATACCTTTCTTTAACGTACCTCATATTATTTGCCCTTTTGAATATCTTTATGGACTAATAGCTTTCTACAAAAGTACTTTTTCATTTTTAAGTATATTTTGTGTGTTTTGTTTTCCAGTACTAAATTGTCCAGTGTGGACAGTGGAAGCCCCTTTAAACTAGAGCTGTTGTATTACCACGATATCAGGCATATTTGAATACTGTGCCTTCTGATAACAGTAAGATGTTCTAGGCCCTTGTTTTTCTTTCCCTCCAAAAATAGAATCAGCTGCCTTCCAAGTCGTTACGGTATTTTGATTGTTGGTTTTTGTTTTTTGGGGTTTTTTGTGTGTGTTTTAGTGGAGAATAGTATTAGAGGTCAAATTCTAAATTCAAGATGGCTTAGCTGATGTGGGGAGGTTGTAACACCATCCCTTCTTATTCTAAACTCTAATTGTACTTATAGAAGGTAGATTTTCCTTAGGGTTCACCTAGGTGTATGGATATTCACCTAGGTATATGTTTGTGATATGTTTGCCTTGAGTACTCTTGTGAACTGAACTATTAGACTTACTTATGTTTCAAATCACTGGTACAATTTATTATTACCCATGTAGCCTGATTATCGCTTCACTGAGTTACTATTTTTTTTGGTCTTTTTTTGTCATGTTTCTCTATAATCAAACTTCTCAGTTTGGGATATGCAATTACTATAAAAAGTGAAAAGTATTGGGAAATTATTCTTTGGTTTGATGGTAACACTGGCCTCTTTTTCAGATATATTTTTACCATCATGGATCGGTTTATAGATATATCAGAAGGTGAAGTGGACCATTCCTTCTTTGACAGTGACTTTGAAGAAGCAGAGAAATGTGAAAGTAACTCAGTTTTTGGCAAGCAAAATGATGACCCTAAAGAGAGAATAGATAAAGATACAGAAAATGTAAACTTGAATTTTGGAATACAAAGGAAGGAAAATGCAATAAAGGAGAAAATTACTCCAGAACACCACCCTGTAGAAAATGATAATATGCAAACCAGAAATTCTTTATCATTGACCACTTCAAGATCAAAAAAATTGTGGGATGCTACAACAGGGCATAAAATACACTTGCCCACTCCAAGTAGAAGTCCCAAAATTATAAAAGAAGGTGAAGATGATTATTATACAGATGGAGAGGAAAGCAGTGATGATGGGAAAAAGCAACATGTCAGGTCCAAGTCAGCTAAACCATCTAATAACTTTAAAAAAAACATAAGTAAAAAGTATTCCAAAAGTAATTCCTCCTCCTCCTCTTCCTCTTTGTCCTCCTCATCTTCAAGTTCAGGCACAGATTGTTCAGATGCAGGGTCTGATATCTGTATTTCTGATTCATCGCCATCATTAAAGAAACGTCTATGTGGTGTAACCCACTTGTCACCAAAACAGAAATATAAACCAGGAATGAAATCAACAGGAATACAGCCTTCAAGTGCTAAACCAACAGTCAATGACTCCCATGAGGAATCTGAAGATACTGTGACAGATGTCACTCCTCTGTCAACTCCAGACATCAGCCCTGTTCAATCTTTTGAACTGGGAGCATCAAATGATCAAAAAGTAAAAGTTAAAAGGCAAGAAAACGTGAGTCAAGAAGTATATGGAAATGTTGAGGATTTAAAAAATAATTCAAAATTGATGAAATCAACCAAAAAAGGGCAAGAAAAACATGGGCCTGATCTCACATCAAAATCTTCAGTGTTAGATTCCAGTTCAGACCACAGATATAAACAAAAAGCCTTACATGACACAATGGACCTCAATCATCTGTTGAAAGGTAATTTTCTTCTCTTTTTAAAAGCTGTATATATTGGACTTAGATATTAAACTTCATGGTATTTTGAGCTTAAATATCAAATGCTATGAATTTGCATTGATTTTTCTATTAGATATATTTTATTGTTTGGGATAATTGATGTAGTAACTTTACCTAATATCCTATTTTACCATAAAAATACCTGGAATATCATTAGTTATAATACTGAAAAGCTAATTAGGACTAGAAACTAGTGCCCTAATTCTGTTTTAGTGTCTTACAAAGTCATAAAGTCTAGAGGGACCAGATAGATAACAGAAATGAGAGAAGTGGAGCCAGATGTTTTTCACTTTTGAGAGATGTGTATAAGATATATTTCACTTTCTTCTTTAAGAAAGGCAACAGTACTAAAGTTAAAATAACCTGACCTGTTGTCTTCATATCAGAGAAAGTGGCAAAAATGCTGGCAAATGAAATTTTCAGAATAAACTGTAGGGAACTATTCAGACTTTAAGTTAAAGGTTAAAGAGGATTACTTGAAAATAATTACCAAGTTGATGAAATAGCATAATTCAAGTTTCAGTTCCTTTAAGATACAAATTTTTTGAGGTATAATTGACACAGAGTATTTTGTTGGTCTCAGGTATATATATATCACAGTGATTCAATACTTTTATACATTATTAAATGATACCCATCATAAGTCTAGTTACCATCTGTCACCATACAAAATTATTACAGTATTACTGACTTTAGTCCTTGTGCTGCACATTACATCCCTGTGACTTAATTTATTTTATAAATGGAAGTTTGTTCCTCTTAATCCCCTTCACCTATTTTGTCCCTTCCCACCCCCAACCCTTCCTCTCCTCTGGTAAGCAACAGTTTGTTTCCTGTATCTGTTGAGTCTGTTTAGTTTTGTTCTTTTGTTTTGGTATTTAGATTCCACATACAAGTGAAAGACAAATATGGTCTATTTGTCTTCATCTTATTTCACTTAGCATCATACTCTCCCCATCCATGTTGCCACAAATGGCAAGATCTCTTTCTTATGGCTGAGTAATATTCCATTGTGTATATATACCACATCTTTATCCATTCATCTGTCGATAGATACTTAGGTTGCTTCCGTATCTTGGCTGTGGTAAATAATGCTGCAGTGAACATAGGGGTGTGTATATCTCTTCAAATTGGTGTTTTCATTGTCTTTTGATAAATATCCAAAAGTAGATTGCTGGATCATATGGCATTTCTGGTTTTAATTTTTTGAGGAACTTCCATTCTGTTTTCTGTAGTGGCTGCACCATTTACATTCCCAACAGTATAAGAGGGTTCCCTTTTCTCTACATCCTCACCAACTCCTGTTGTTTTTGTGTTGTTGATTTTAGCCTTTCTGACAGGTGTGAGGTAGTACCTCATTGTGGTTTTGATTTGCATTTCCCTGAGGATTAGTTACGTTGAGCATCTTTTTATGTACCTGTTGGCCGTCTGTATGTCATCCTGTCATCTTTGGAAAAATGTC